TCTCGCCCGAGGTTGAGACCGAGGACTTTTCCAGATGCTTAGAAACCTCGAGCAAGGATTGAAATTTGAAAGTTGCTCGAGAGTTTGTGCTCTCTGTTATTTTTTTTGGGTTCGACCTCGGGCGAGGTTGAGCTCGAGGTATTAGGAAGAGTCACCTCGAGGTTCAAACTCTTCGGAATACCTTGGGCTCAACCTCGAGGTTCAAATACCTCGGGCTGAACCTCGCCCGAGGTCGAACCCGAGAAAAATAACAGAGGATTAACAAGAGTGACGTTSCTTCTTCTTCTTCAACCTCCCACCACACAACTGAACTACTATCAACGTAACATCTCACAGACCTCAATTTCAACGGAACAATAACAAAGGAAAAATCAACAAATAATGGAAAAATACCTAATAGATGCATTAACATTCATGTATTCGTTCATCTACACATATGAAAACAGAATCGACGGAAAAAAAAAAAAACCATTCAACTCCTCAACACACAAAAAACGAAGCCCTAACCATTCAAATCGACGGAGCAATGGAAAAATTAAAAGAAACGAAACTTACCTCGATGATTAAATCAATTTCTTTCACTTTGTTTCAACACGGATTGCCAAGAAAAAGGGAAGCGAAAATGGAGAGGAAAGAGAGCAAACAGTTTGATTTTTTGAACTAGGGGTAGTACTGTAATTTCACTTCCTTTTAAATTTAATTAAATATTCAAGTGGGTCATTTGGACACATTTTGAAGGGTTGATATTCTATAAACTTTTTAAGGTCATTTGAGTCAATTTCCCAAAACCATTCATGTCTAACTTTGAAACACAGCGCTCAGAAATTTGGGTGTTTTCATCTCTTTTTTTTTTTCTTCTGTTCTCTCCGTTGGGAAATTTTATTTATTTAGTCTGAAATTTAATGTGTAAGAATTTAGTTTCTTTTCAAAGATAAAATAAAATTTTATATCACTGACTTTATTTAGTCATAAGTTTGAAAAAGGGAGAGTTTAATCCCAACCTTTAAAAAAGATTATAAAACATTTTAGGGTTAAAAATTCTGACATGGAAGTTTGAGTTATTATATAACATTTTGCTCTGATATTTATTTTAAATGACGTGTCATTTGTACTTTTTGAATTTCCTATTTTCCGTTTTCTTCTTTTTCCAGAGCCTTGCCTCTCAAGCTTTTCCCTCACACTTCATCTCTCTAAACTCTCCACTCTCTGTCTCCTCAGTCTTCTCCATCTTCCATGTCCAAGCAGACCTATAAAATTAGCCCAACTCAATCAACACCACCACTGAACGCGATAATAAATTATAGTTGGAGGCGTCAAACGATACTGCCACATGGAAGACAGAAATGAGACAAATCATCTGTACTAGATGCTCGTTCTCTATAGAAACGAACCTACAACACTTAATCACAAGTGTCATGTATCGCATTCTAGTCCAGTCTCAATATTAAAATTGAACTCAATTAACTTAAGCATCGGAGTGTTTTTTTTTTTTGTGCATGTCCTTCCTTGCCAAGAAGCTTTCTGGCTCGTTCCGAACGACTTTAACTAACTTAAATATCGGAGTGTTTGTTTCCTTATGCATGTCCTTCCTTGCCAAACAGCTCTTCAGTTCATTCCGGACAACTTAATTCTTTTTAGTCAACCTACCTTGACCGACATTTGTTGCACAAACAACATTAATCCTTATCGATGATGCATAATCATATGTTGTTCTTGCACCTTCGGCACAAAGCTCATCACAAGAACTATAAATAGAGAGGAACAGAGAGAAGTTCATTTTCCTTAATTTGTTGAAAAACCTAATTGGAGCGTTTAATTTATTAAATTCGCACCTCACAATGTTCGCCCAGGTCAATTGCTCATCGTCCATCTACTTCCTCATTTGATTCATCAAATTGCACCAATCTTACTCCCTCGTTTGATTCGTCAAATTGCACCATTCTTCATCATCGCAAAATTAGGGCCAATATTGACACTTGATTATGACGAGGTTTTTACGGTAGAGACTAAATTATTATAAATTTTAAACTATAAGGCCTAAGTTATTATATACTATAGTTCAAGAACTAAATTGTTACCAATTTTAGGTAAAAAAAAAAAAATTGGTTGCCAAATTGAAAGTATATGGGCGAAATTGTTACAAATTAAAATTCTAAGTACTAAATCATTAAAAATATAGTAACCAAAAATGTTTTTTAACAAAAAAATAAAACTTAAAAATTGCTGACCGGTCAGAACCCATCTTCCTACCGAACACCAACAAAAATTTGGCAGTATTCTAATTTTTTTAAAAATGGAAAAACTCTCTTTTTCACATATTTCTCTCTTACTTGGCAAGCATTTAATGGTAATCAACAAAAAACGGGTGTGGATTGATAAGAACCCAAGTATTATACATAAAAAGGAAAAGGTTGAGAAAGAATAACTTTGTACAGGTGAAATTTACATGAAAGATTAAGAAAAGATTGGTGGTGAGCATACATAGTCACAATTAAACACTTTCCATTGCACAATATTAGATTAAGATGGCTCTACACAACACCAACTATAAGTTAAATCACTTAAGGTTCGACGTGCAAAACTTTATCAAATCTCACTAAACTCAACTTACGAACACCTCTAAAATACATCCTACCAATTTAAGTATAACTGAGCTGGTTAAGACATATATCATAGGTTTGAATCTCCACTCTCACATGTTATTGAACTAAAAAAAAAGTAATATTTGTACATATAACGCCAATAATAATAAATAGACTAGTTTAGGTATTAAATCAGATTGCGGAAATAAAATTTAGTCAAAATAATAGAAAGAGTTGAAAGTTTTGGTCCAATGACAACCTTCATTTCAGAGCAACCCCATATCCACAGCTGTAGACTATCAAATATGTATACAGAGGAAGCAATTTCGCACCATTTTAATGCACATTGAAACACTAAAACAAACAAGTACCTCTCAAGTATAATATGTATGAAGAATCCTACCTCCTAAGCAACACATAATATATCTATTCTACATCTCTATTATTTAGAGAAGAATTTTCTGAATGGTTTTCAGCAATATTTGGTTTACCTGGAGCTGACAGTCATTTATTGGATGGACCATCTCGCCGTGACTCAAAAGTGTCGGTTATTCATTGGTGGTGTACATGATTCTGCTGGAGAAAGGTCACTGATGTTGCACATTGTGTCACCATCCATAACATGATTGAAGTATTCTAGTACCTGTTTCCATATATTGAAAAAAATGGGTAAAACTTTACGTTCTAACTTTATATATATAATCTTTCTCTAAGAAAAACTTTTAAATTTGAATTTCTTTGACATATCCTATCTTCTCTTGTACCCTATTAGGTTCTTGACAAAAATGTGAACAATATAGGAGTGATGAAAAATGAAAATATGAAGCTGAAAATATATGGGGAGAGTGTTCACTGTTCAGTTCACCTTATTCATAGTTATTCTCTTGCGAGGATCCTTCCTCAGACATTTCTCTACTGCATGAACCATCCAAAAGAGTTGGTAGAAATCATGGCAGTCTGCTATTCTTGGATCTATTAAAGCAGGATAGTTCCTCTCCTTTAGCAATGGTCTTGCCTAAAATAACAAAACAACACATATATCATAACTTCCCTTGGTAAATCTTAATAACAAGACACAGAGAAATATCTTCGATTCGGATATTGACATTGAACTTTGAAATATCGAAGTTTCAGTAAAGTAGTAAAAGCCTCTTCACATCCTTTTTTTTTTTTTTTTTTTGTGTGCTTGTCGATGAAGTTGTATACAAGAGAGAAACTATATACACTCATTCAGATTCATTCAGTGAATCTCGCTTATATACCATTCTCATTAATTTGTACTAAAAAACCAAACATCAAGGTTACATGCTGATTACTTATAATCACTATCAACATAACTGTTCTTCTTTGCATTTAGCAGACAAGTTTTAAAAAGATAGCTTCCATTAAAAAATTGGAACATGGTAGGGAGCTGATCAAAATATTTTAAGCAAAGAGCTTATTACTTACCCAGCCCACAAGACTCTCTCCTTCAAATATCATGTCCGTGGTCCTATATCCAGTAATAAGCTGTAATAAGACCACACCAAAAGCATAAACATCGGTTTTGGTAGACACTTTACCAAATTCTGCATATTCTGGTGCTAAGTATCCCAATGTCCCAACAACCCTGGTTTCTGATGAGTTTTCATACTGAGTTCTTGCTAGCCCGAAATCTCCTAGCTGAATGTACGAAAGAATCACCATTGTTTAACTGAATTCTTAGTGTAATTCTATAAATTCAAAGGAATTCAACAGTTCTACAATGTTCCAAACACAAACTACAGGAATTTGATAACAGAAGAACTACAGCAAGCAGGCAGGCAAGCAGGCAGGCAGGAAATAATTACCCGTGACTCGTAATCATGTGTTATGAGGATATTATTTGGTCTCATATCTCTGTGGATAATGTTGTTTGCATGCAAATATTGTAAGCCTCTAGCAACTCCTCTAGCTATCTTCATCCTCTTTTCCCAACTGAGAGGTCTGCTGGCAGTCCCTGCATAAGTTCCACAAAAAAGAGACGATTACTCGATGTCGTTTGATAGCTACTTCTTTTGTTTATTTACAAAGAAAAAGCAAAACATATAACAATCACTTCATTATTAAAAGTACTCTAAGAGTAAATACAAACAAACATTCTGCTACCTGTTTAATTATATCAATCATTCATTTGTTTTATTTATGTAAAACATTCAGGAATTTGTTTCCTGTTACCTGAGAATGCATTTGATAATAGCATTAACTTTCTTGTCCTTTCTTCTGTTAAATTCAGAAAATAAAAGCTTAATTCTAATTCTTCAAGAAATGAGAGATTAGAACTTATTAATGATCTTCACGTTGCTCTGTAATTGAGATTTTACCCACAATTCTTAAAGATGCTCACAAAATCAATAAAGTGAAACATGAAAAGTTATCAAATATAAAATGACAGATAGTTATCCATAATAATCAATACTAAAATACATAAATCTAATCTTCATAATAATATGCAATACGAAAGATTAGAAATGAAACCAAAGAACTTCGATTCACTTCTGAAACCAAATACCAAACAAGTTACCCAAAGTATTTTCCCCATAAACCACATGTAATTTTAAAAACATTTCTCAAAAACATGAAAATAAAGTAAGTATTGCCAATTACAGTTTTTAAAAGAACAAAAAGAACTACAGGCTCCATGTTGAAATCCTTACTTGACAAGTACTTCTCCAAGGATCCATTGCAGACATATTCGTAAACAAGCAGCAGCCTGTGAGTCGCTTCTCTACACGTACCCAAAAGCATCACCAAATTCTCATGGCTTACTTTGCTCAGAACATTAACCTCAGACCTGAATTCCTTTTCCCCCTGTGAACTCGCAAGTTTATGCCGTTTCACAGCGATCCTAATCCCATCAATTTCGCCGCTATAAACCGAACCGAATCCACCTTCCGAGAGGAAATTATGCCCCGAGAATCCATCCGTAGCCGCATGAAGCTCTGCGTAAGTGAAATCCCTTCTCCATCCAACATAGGGCCGCCTGATATGGCAGATCGAACACGCGGAGGTTTTGAAGTCCTCGGAAATGGAGAATGGAGAAAGAGATGAATCTCCCCCAGAAGAAGTCTCCGCCGGTGCATGAACTTTGCCGCTTGAGGATGATTTGCAGAGGGAAGTGAATTTCTTGCTGGAACAACGCCATTGCGTATGGATTGTTTCGATTTCGAAGATTTCTGATTCTGCTTCCGCTTCTGCTTCTTTTTCTATCCAAATTGCCCGAAATCAAAATCTTGAACATAAGAACTTCTATTTTTTCTGGCGAATTTTTTCCGCGCGAAAATGTTTTTATTTATTTATTTGGAAGCGAATATGAGTTTTTTTATTAATAAAATTTTAATATAATTGCTTCAAAGTCAAATATAATTGATTTTTCTTGAATTTTAATTTTAATTAATTAATTTTTTTTAAAGTCTGGATTATGCTTCATTTATCACTAATTTGAGTTTGCATAACACTTCGATGATAACTTAATAGTATTTTTTTGAACTAAAAAAAAAAGATAGTTATTGCAATTGAACTAAAAAAATAGTTATTGCGAGTATATACCACAATACTTCAAGATATTCTTTTTCATTCTAACTATCGACACATTGCATTAGTTCGACCTAAATTCGTCTAAAAGACATACCACTTCAACATCATTAACACCAACAACTAAAAATAGAAGCATAATCCAAAGTTTGAGAATATAAAATTGGCTAAATATATGTTTCAGTCCCTAATATTTTAGTATTTTTAAATTTAGTCTCTATTGTTTAAAAAGTTTCAATTCAGTCTTTTATGCATGTTATAACATTTTTCTATTTTGTCCTTCAACGTTGGTAAATGTTAAAATTGATAGATAATAAACTTATATAACGCAATAATTGGTGAATTGGCATAAATCTAAAGAAAGTTCTCTAATTCCTCCTCCAAGTTTCAAAGAAATCGGTAGAAATTTCAGGTATTATACCATGTAAGTTCATCATCAGCCAATTTTAACATTTATCAACAATGAAAGACTAGATCGAAAAATGTTGCAACGTAAGGGACTAAACTGCAAAAGCACCCAAATATATTGAGAGAGAGAGAGAGAGAGAGAGAGAGAGAGAGAGAGAGAGAGAGAGTTACTAGTGGGAGAAAATTGGTGTGGAGGGCTTCCTGGTATCATCTCAGCATAACTAAATTGAGAGGGAGAGGTTTTTGGGAGATATGGAGTGAGTGGTTTGGCCATCTCCTTTTCCTCTTCTCTTTCCATTCCCAATTTCCCTCTCAACTCTTGGACTCTATTGTCCCTTTTGATTCTTGATATTTTGCAACTCAGTCTCCCTAAGAAGAATTTCCGATCTTTCTTCATGCGCCTGTTCATTTCGATTTTATATCATCATAAACGCTTTGTTCAATAAACGAACCAAACAAGAGGGATTCGTGAAGAAGATATTTCTCTCATTGAAAAGAAATTAAGCATCCAAACAAATTCGATGGAATGAAAGACATCAGAGTGAATAAAAAGGAAAGAAAAAAAAAACAAATTAAGGATGAATTTCAACCTATCATCAAAATATAAGAAGACCGGTTTATGAAACTTATTATTTTGTACGTAGAAAAATAAATACAATTTGAAGTTATAACTTGATTAAAAAAGAAACCCGATCTTTTAATTTTCGTAAATATTCATTTAGGCTGTTACTTTTGTATTATAGTCTATAGAAATCTATAAGCTATATTCTTCCTCTTTTTTTTACCTAGCTTATAAAAGCAGTAAATAGTAACAACCAACCACGATATTTTATTACGTAAAATTTAGAGATAAAAACATAATTTTTCTAACTACAGTGACTAAAGTAGTCGAATAAATATGAAAAAGTTAAGGGCAAAATAGCTTAGGGTTTAAAGTCAATAACAAATGACTATAAATTTTATTTTTAAACAAAATTTAAAGACCAAAACAAAATATTTAAAGTAAAAATATCGAATAAAATAACGGGGAAAAGTTTAGAGACTGAAGTAGGATTTAAACTCTAAAAATATATTTTACCCCGTCTTCTTGATTTATTATCTTCGTGTATTTTTATTACATAAAAAGATTAACTTTTAAATTTGAAAATTGTTGTAACATAGAGAAATTCAAATTCAAATTCAAAATTGGCTTGAGATTCACCTGTCAAGAACAACCCATGTTGGTTTGTAAGTTTTAGCAATTTCAACAGCAACTTTCTTAGGGGATGGCCCTGCATGAACTTCCACCTTGAACCTTATCTACCAAATTTGCAACAAATTTTTTATTAATTCCAAATCCATTTTATTTGGGAGTGAATTACCAAAATAATAGAAAAGGGAATATGTATTTTTATATACACTATTAGATGTAAAATTTATAAAGATGGCACGATCACATAAGACAAGACCCATTAAAAATTACTTTGTGACACTTAAAAGAAAAATAAAAGAGTAATGATACTTTTATAAATACATATTAAAAGAGAACTGAATTGGCAAACCTTTTTAAATTCACAAAGATCGAAAATTTCATGCATTCGTTCATCGTTTGCATATTCTTCCATTTTCTTTGCGCTTTCCTTTTCTATCATGTTATCGTTCAACCCTATCATGGAACGTGAATCCACGTGCTGCTTGTGTCCCACTGGTGAAAATGCACACAAACGAGGTCGTTTCAACCAAAAAAAGGAAAGGAAAAAAAAAAAGAGAACATTTTTACCTCATATGGTTTGCGAGTCAAATTTAACTTTTGAAATTAAATTCCCGACATATATATTTTTATCAAAAGAAGAAGAATAAATATTACCACTTTTTAAACATAAAACTGGGCAAATAACAACTATAACATTCATTTTCATTCAACCGAAATGAACATAGCTCAACTAATCAAGACACTACCTACCTTTTCAGATGTCGAAGATTCAAATCTCTCCACCCATTGGTAAACTAAAAAAACATGGAATCCCAACTTGGAGAAATGGTTCACAAAATGCCTAAAATATAATCCAACTACGTATGAAGAAATCAATCTCGAAAACACTCAAACACACCCTCAAAATAAATATGTGAAAAGGAAAAATAAAATAAAAAGCCTTAAACTTGATCACAAAATGCTCAAATTTAGTCCAAATAAAAATTTCTAACAAGGTTCAAAAAAACCAAAACTTATCAAAATAGTCTCGTCTGACCACAACAATGCTCACATATAGTCAGAAAACGTTTAGAGAATTAGTAAACACAGGAATTACATACAAGTAAATTTACTAATATAACCGGTGTCAATCAGTGATATATCTATAAATCAGCCCTTTTTGTATCAAATTTGAACACAACTCAGCGGTTAAGGAATCTCGCTAACCGACCCAAAGAAATTAAAAATAAAAAAAAAAGGTGAATGAAATCTTACACATTGGAGCTTCCATCAAAGTATACATACAAGGATTATTAACCTGATGAAGAACAACTATGAGTTTTATTTCATCTCCCTTCTTAAGTTGAGAGCTCCTCAGCATCCATCCAATTCCCATTGCTGCATTCCAACTGAACTTTCTGCTCCCATCTTGGATCACCATCACTCTCTCCCCTCCTTCCTCCTTCGCCATGCCCGTTCTCGAAAACAACAAAATTTTCGAAAAACCCTGATTTTTGAAGGGCAACTATTTACAAACTCGTGACAGTTTCAAAACATATTCAAGAGAAAAAACAACAGTTAACCAGGCGTGTAGCAGGTTAAATATTCGGTTTTCGTTTGACGAGCAAACGAAGAAAAAGAATCAGAAACTAGTAGCCTGCAAGTTTTTAAGTCTATTTACAAACCATGAGTAAGAACGTTTTTCAGACGTGTCTAAGAGAACAACTACGTAGAAAGCAGTTAACCAGACATGCAATGTCACGAAAGTAGTTAGTTTTAGTTTTGCAAGCAAATCGATCTCGAACCCAAAAAGGGAGAAAATGGAACATAAATTTTTCGGGTTTCGGTTTTTTGATGGGAAAGTGAAGGAGAAAATGGGAGAGTTGATGGTTTAAATGGGAAGCCAATGAGTTTGCGAAGAGATCAGTGTGGAAGGGATATTGGAATATCCTGAGAATTGGATGGGAGACTGATGGATTCAATGAGAAGCCTCCAACTCCATTACCACTTTCCTTTGTAACTATATAGTTGAACCAATTAATTATTTTAATATATTATTAATCTTTTTAATTAGAAGAATTTATTTAATTTATGTGTATATATCACAGGTGCGAGTCGAAATCGAAAAAAATATATATATTGACCGAGTTGAGTCAGTCTGAGTTGTTAATGTGTTGCTTTTGTTGAAGTGAGTTCGATATTGGTTTGTATTAATCTGTTAGATGCATAGTGATTGAACCCATTTACTTGCATAGTCGATTGATTTTCTACTGATCATCTTCGATCAAACTGATCGGTTGGTTGGTTGGTCGATCCCTTTACTTTTAAATTTTTGGCTTTTGGACTTGTTTTCAATTAACGATGGGCACTAAGGTCAATTTGACTTTTACTTTCACCAACTTTGACCAACTTTCACTCTCCCAAAAATTACATATAATTTAACATTTCATAATATAAATTACGTTAGAAAGTATCTAAGCTATACCGACCAACATAGCTTAATTGGTTAAGACATATATACTAACTAAAAGATGAAAAGTTCGAATACTTACTCATGTTTTTTACCTCGATAAAAAAGTTAACTAAGCTTGATTTTTGTACTTTTTTTTCCCTCAATAATTCTGTTGTGGCGGCTGGCATCTCTCATCACCAATTGATGAGCCCAAAGTTTATCTTTTGTAATTAATTTTTGATTTGGAAGATTCTTGTTGTAAGAAAATTAATTGTTTTTTGTAGCGTTATTTTCGTTGAACAGGGCAGCTGACTAGGCCTTCGGTGCTTCCAAAAATTTTCATTTATTGTAAGGTCCCAATTTTCCAAACTTTAGTGGATATCTATTAATAAATCATTATGATACAATTTATGTTGATCCTCATTATTTTATTATAAGGTATCCATCTTATTCTACATTCATTTGAATCTTATTATACGGTATCAAGTTGATTAATTTTTTTAATTGAAATTCATATAAAGTTTATTTGATAGATGTCAAGATCAATGTTCTACTCTGGTAATAACTTTTCGTATCAAAGTTTACAACTTAATAAATTTATATAAATACTTTTAATAAATGCTTCATAAAAAAGACGACGTCAAAGAAATCGTTCAATAGATTTTCTGAACATAAATTTAGTTTAGCCATAACTGACACATATTTCTAACCAAGAAGTAATGAGTTTAAATTCCATCACTCCTACTCGTTGTACTAAAAAAGAAAGAACAAAATTTCCAAATTTTTTATTCTTTTAGTGTATTTTTGCCATTTCAAATGAACTTGTCTTTTACATGTTGCATGTTGAAATCATCGTCTTTTTTGACTTGTCATTATAAAATTGTGTTTCCAAAAACAACTGCAAAAACTACGGCATACAAGCAAAAGTAGCTCTTTTTTTTTTAATAAATTTCTAAAATGCATACCCTTTATTTTTAATATATATATATATATATATATATATGTTAAAAATTTCATGGTTTGGCCTGGCGTGTGCTCCCCCATGCAATATATTTTAATATTTCATTTGAAATTGGAATCTTACTGACTGACAGGCAATCGAATTGCCGAAAGAATCAATGTCATAAATCTTTGCAAAGAAAGAAGAATCAATGTAAAAAACCATTGTAAATTAATAAAGATTAATTTACAAATTCAACTCATGAACTGCCTAATTCGTCTCTAAACAAGTATCCAATAAGTTTCTAAATCTTAAAACACTCCTAAAACTTTTAATACGTGTCTAACAAGTCAATTTGTGCACATTTACTCACGAATGTCCAAGTCAGCTTGAGCATAACCATATGACCCTACTATATTTAATTTGCAAATACTTGTCTTCTTGTTTGACTTTCAAGTTTTAATTGTATGTCTAATAGATTTGTTATTAAAAATAATAAATATATTAGGGATCAATTAGACACAAAATCGAAAGTTCGAAAACTTATTAAACACTTTCAAAGTTAAATGACATATTAGACACAAATTTGAACACTTACAAAGACCTATCAAACACTTTTTAAAGTTGTAAGCTACTTATCAAACACAAACATAAAACATAAAAGCTCAAAAACTAAAGTTGTAACTAACCATTAATTAATTAAAAGGAAAAAAGTATATTTTAAATTTACCTTATTTGTTTCCACCTTCAAATTCATAATCCATGCCTTCCAAAAATTAACATTTAAACCGATCGAGTTGGGTGTTCTTCTAACTTTGATCCAGTTTTGGGTCATATATTTAATAGATTTATTCCTCATTTTGAGAATTTGAGATCCTTGATGGGGAATTTGTATTTAGATTTCTTCATATGATGATTAAACATAACAGCTAACTTATATATGGTCCTTTTTTCTTTAGTTTTTCACTTTTTAAGAGCTATTTTGAAATTTTAGATAAATTTTAAATACAAAAAAAAAAAAAGGATTTAGAATGCTAAAGGTTTTCTTTCACCGAGCGCAAATGTTTAAATTAAAATTTTAAAAGTTCAAAATTTAGGATAGAAAACGGAGAAATAGAAAGAGTAAGAAAGTTCAACCACTGAAATAGAATTTAAATTTAAACATTCTTGACGACAGCAATACTCTTATCAACAAAATGAGATCTTAAAAAACATGGTTAAATAACAATTTTTAGTTGGAATAACGATTTAGCCTCTAAACTTTCAAAAATAACGAGTTACTCCCTGTACTTTCAAATTGGTAACAACTTAGTCACTGAAATTTAGAAGGTAACAATTTAGTCTTTGAAATTTAAAATTTGTAATAATTTAGTTCCCATTGTGAAATTTTTTTGTTCAATTTCGAGTATATGTAGATCAATAAACCGATGAAGATTCGAATTTATTTATAAATTACAAAAATTAAATCGTTGTATGATAAAAATTGACACTTTATTTTGTATTTTGACAAGAATTTTCGCAGTAGGGACTACATTGTTACAAATTTTAAACTATAAGGACTAAATTGTTACATGTTAAAGTTCAAAAACTAAATTGTTACCAATATGAAAATATAGGAACTACATCGTTACAATTCATGAACTAAATCATTACTTTACCGAAAGTACAGGGACGAAAGGTATTTTTTAACCTTAATATTTTTGGTTCAATCTCCCCTCCCATTATATATAGTTTTTTTGACATGATAGATTTGCTAATTCATGCCTACTTAAAAGTGGGCTACCTTATTATTTTAGTTCAACAACGTTTGAGAGCGAGGATTCAAAATTTCTTACCTCTTGGTTTGGAGTATATGCCTTAACTAATTGAGAGCGAGGATTCAAAATTTCTTACCTCTTGGTTTGGAGTATCTGCCTTTAACTAATTAAGTTATGATGCACTTGGTTAAATAAACAAGCTCTCTTAAAATATTGGGAATTCTTAGTTTAAAGAAAGGAAAAAAAAAAAAAAATCAAAGTTTTCAATACTGAAGACATGGAAAAACTCTTCAAGTTGAAGGAAAAGGCCAATGATGTGAGAGAAAAAGTACTTACTTCCCAAGGGAAAAACCTTGTCTTATGCTGAAAGCAGAGTCACAGCAATGAATAACAAGAGGGCCAATCCAAAGCAGAATCCAACAATAGCCATGAATGCCTGGAGATGGTTTAAACTTTAAGCATAACATCAATGTAAGAAACAACTAAACAAGAAGATGGATATGTAGAAGTTTCATTTCCAACAACCTTCCCCTGAGACTCAAAGTTGTATTTGACCGTGAACCATGACAACCCTCTGTCAACGAATGGCGCTACAGCCAGAGCCCTGCATGAACGAGAAGCTTCGACTTAAGAGGTCTCTTCCTTGTTTCAAGAAATAGGAAAGGAATGATTATTTAAGACTTACTTTCACCTATATGCTTCTTTGTTTTGTTATATGCTTTTAATCAGGTCTTTAGAATCTAAACCAAATTTTGAAAACTAAAAAAATATATATAGTTTTTAAAATTTTGTTTTCTATTTTAGAAATTAAAAAAGGTAAAAGATATACCAAAGAAATGATACGAAAGCAAGTGTGATTTTAAAAACTGAAACTAAAAGCAAAACGGTTATTAAATGAGGCTTTTAGTTATCGAAGTTAGAGTAAGGGCAAGCATGTAGCAAGTGAATGTCATTGCCAACAAACAAGTTTAATTTCACAGTTCATATAGTTGGATTGTCATGTATTAAATATTAATCAGAATACTACTTGATAAGTAGGGAATATAAGAACTCACCCTGCAGCTCTTGCAAGCTTAGTAACTTGGCTTCCAGCACAGACTGTAGCCATTATTTTTAGAAATCTACAAGGTTATTAACGCTTCGTCTTCTTAGTATAATATAAAGCCCCATAACAGTTAAAAATTCAACAAGAAAAGATTTAACCTTCCAGCAGCAGCAACATAACCCATTTTCGCTGGTGCTGGTGCAATGTAGAACCTAAAATGCAAATATATAACTTAAATAGATGACCGAGGAAACCGCTAATGGAAGAATGATGAAATGAGCAGGAGACAACCAAAAGTTATGTAACATAAAGAGTTTCTTTTTTTAATTATTAAAATAAAAGATTAAAAAAATTATATATTAAATAAATAAACCTTCTCAACTTTCAATCGGACAAATTCTAATTTTATTTACCGATTCTGTAGCAACTAATTGTCCCTGAGATCAGAATGCTATCTCTCCTGGGGTGGTATTTCACTAATTGGCTTGCTAGGCTAGGCCCTCCACCTAAGCTGTGCTGGAAAGCACAAAGTCAATCTCAGGGAACAATGGAGTTTTATAAGGTGTTTTTTCCAGATGCAGGTAGTCTGCATCCGTAGTCCATAGCCACAGGCCAAAGGCCATATCAATATCAACATTAGCAACCGTCTTTGCATCAAAAGAAATTTGCAGAAATAGTTATTTGAGAGGATTATAGAGTACGGGTAATGTGGTATAGAAAGGTAGTTTGTTACAGAAATTGTCATTACTAGAAGAATCAGCCTGCAAGAGAAGATACGCAAAATTGTGATTGAGGCGTGAGCTCACTCAAGAGAGGTAGTGTCCCCATTCCTCGAATTACTTGAAACATCTTACTGTACTTTCTTATATTTATCATCTGGTTCCCTCAACATATACAATTCTAATGACCAACATGCATGCCCAAATAAACCTAGACACAGGCCATATTGATACTCTTCAACATAAAAGGAAAAATTCAAAATAGTTAATATAGCAATGAAATTTGGTTTTGACCCACCACACAATGACAAATGTTGTAAGATAGTAGACTGTGTTTAATAATCCGTAAGACAATATTCCGGAAATTCCATACCTCCTCAATTTATCCAGTACCCTGCAAGATGAACATGTACTAGAATAAGTAAACATGAAATATGATATCTCCAAGACTGCTGTATTACCAACCTTCTATGGAGTATGCAGCGATGCATCCAATGAGATAAAAGCCAAGAAAATCCTTGTTCATTTCATGCGGTTACTAAATGAAAAGTTTGTCTCTTTTTCAATATTATAACTTTTATGTATATATTTATACCCCACACAAATATTTATCAGGAATTGTACTCCAAAAATTCTAGAATCTCAAATCTGTCTCAACCACTAAATAAGATGAAAGTAAAAACATACATGAATATGAGCTCTTACTTACTCTTTGATGTAGCTTATTCTTAATTATAAAATATTAGTGGGCTACACTTATTTCTTAAATGTAAATAGACCTACCAATATAAATAAACCATGACATTAACCAACAATAAAAAGTACAAATATTAGTGGAACATGTAACAGGGTATACTATTGTTGCTTATTCCGGTTTGCAGGCTAAGTTTTGTTCTACTAGTTTAACTTCGAAAGAAACTAGAAAGAGCACGATCAGAAAAAGGAAGGTCTCACCACTACCAATACCATGGCATTAACAAAAAAAAGCAGTAGCGTTAGAGTTCATCAAATGTATGCAAGGCAAGTAGTAGTACGCGTTCGATTTCGGCAGATGTCTTTGACTACTTTCATTCTTTTCCATTGAACCTAGTAAGAAGGAGAGGGAACGAGATGAGAGTTCTTAAGACATTAATCAAGAACATGACATTTGCAGATATAGAATTCATTGATTGCAACAAAACTCGACCAAATATTCAAAGGAAACTTTCTTTGTGGTATACCTTCCATTTCATGATTGGAAAAGCCACTTTCAGAATTCAGTGGATCAGTGGCCTATGACAAAACATCGGCAGTATGTAATCAGTAATACATACTCTCGTCTAAATACAGAAACATGCATGCCTAAAATTTCATTCACTGCCACACTCCATTCATATAAACAACCCAAGTCAATAAGAAAGTAAACCAACAGTTAAACGAGCAAAAAAAACTTCATAGAAACAGAGTCTCAGTAACTACAAACAGCTAAATGCATCTTGGCCGGAGGCCTCTCTAATCCCAGTTAATACATAAACGAACATTCTTATCGCTCCACAAACCAAATAATTCAAGAAATTTGTCAAAAGAAGAACAAGACAATATAGAAATTTCCCCAAAACTCGGGACGCTGGATACGTAAGCAAGAGGATAAAACGCCATAGAAATAAAGAAACTGCAGATAGTGAGGGGGCTTGCTGTTTTATCATTTTGCTGATAAAGACTTACGCCGATTCCGGCATTGCTATGGCAGAGTCGGATGTAAGGGTTCTGATTAACGAAAACGTTCTTCGGGTTTAGGGCACGAAATGGCGGGGAAATTCTGGAAATTGTACGCGGCAGCAAATCGTTCGAACCCTGAAGAATCGAAAGTCGGAAAAACGATTCGGAAATTAACATATTTACTCATTTGAGAAATTAGATGTCGCAGAATTTTCCAAATGGAATGAAGATTTTGGCGGTACCGGGAGAATGACCCAGCGGAAATTGCCGCCATTCACGAGCTTGACAGGACTTGACATTTGATGGAGATGCTGACCAAGTGTGTGTGACACATTCTGAGTTAACAAAATAATTAAAATAAAATAGAAATGTTGTACTAAATAAATAAAATACATTCACCAAAACTTGAAGATAGTTTAGCGATAATTGACATACATATTCAATTAAGAGATTGTGACTTCGAATCTCCACTCTTATATGTTATATTAAAAAAATACATTTTATCGAAATAAATAAATATATAAAATACAACACACTCATTTTTACCCACTAAGCAAAATTCAACGATAATTAATATATATCTCCAAACCTACTAAGAGGCATGTGGCTTTATTAATTAGTACATCAATTAAAACTAATATTTTAAAATCCAACAACCAAGTCAACCAAATCAAAAAGTATTAGAATGGAACTGGTATTTTAACATAATTAAAATTATATTTTATTTAAGACAACCATGGTATGAATTAAAACTCTTAACTTTTTAAAACGAAGATGTATAACTACCAAACGTAAACAGATGTTAAAGTTGGTAGATTAAAAAACAAAAATAAATGTTACCATTTTTAGTTTTGACACATTTTTATTTAAAGAACTCTGACAAATAAAATTATTCTCATGCATGTTTAACAAATAAGAAGTTAGTTGTTAAATAAGCTTCAGTAATCGACATTCATATTCATATTTTACTATGAAGTTATCAGTTTGAATTATTCTATTAATTCATTTATAAATATAATAAATAAGAAGTAAATCTATTAATATGAATTTAATTAGCAGTAACTGATATCTATATCTAACCATCAGAGATAAAGAGATCACTACAATTCTCCCGCTGGATTGATCATGCCAAAGAGAAAAAAAAGTTGTTGATATTTAGATGATTTTAAAATGAGTATATTTAATAGAGGTAAAAAATGACCTTTTTTATCCATTTGAAATAAAAACACAACTTTTGTTTAGGGTTTAATCAGAAAGCGAAATTCGAAAGTTTAAGATAATTTGGAAGTGGAATTCAATTGATTAACCTCCGGACTGGTGAGACCTTGCTGTCACGTTTCCGCATTTCGAGATTTGTGAACTCGGATCATCTTTTCTCCCGGAAAAAATGGAGGAATTGAAATTCAGCAGGTGTTCGTAGCATATCTAGAAGCTTTGAATTCATGTCCATCAATGGAGAGGATGGAGCGTCAACGTCGAAATCCTCCATCTCGTTCTATTACGCCGTCTGATTCGGCCGGATCTTCGAGCTCCGCTTCCCGCAGAAGTTATTCAAACCGCAATAGAAACTCTGACTACAAGTATTCGAAGCATAATACCAACAGTAATCGCAGCTACGAGGATGATTCTGACTGGCGAAGCAGAAGAAGTAGCGATAGCAAAAGCTATGTCCAGAAACTAGAGCCGAAGGAAGACGGCGTGGGATATGGCGGCATTTCTCACTCCGATCTTCCGCCGGTTTTGGTCGGCACTTGTCCGTCCATGTGCCCTGGTAAATGTTGAAACTATCCACTTCTTCCAGCTTCTTCATCGTTGTTCTTCTTTCCTTCCGGTTCATCTACTCTGTTTTCCTTTAAAATAGTGGAGAAATATGTTTTTCTGTGGCGAGACTATTGGACCATAAAATCTCTCTCAAATCATTTGTTATTTGTTTACATCACTTCCCCGTTTTTGTTGCCTCTGTTATATGACATGACAAGCACAGATTATCATGCTCGTTCGATCTTAATTGACTCTCCAGACTGTTTAGGCTTTGTTTTAATTTTTACTCCAGTGATTGATGCCTATATGACGTGAAATTGAATGTTAGCTTCCTCCTCTTCTTTGTTTTAAAATCATATGGTTGCTGCTTTATTATGGGTTTTCATATTTGTAAACAGAGGCAGAAAGAGCTCAGCGTGAAAGGTTGCGAGATTTAGCTATATTTGAAAGGTTACATGGAAATCCTGGAAAAACGTCTCCAGATCTTGCCGTCAAAAAGGTAATATCTACTACTGATAGTTGCTCTATGTTGCATCTCAATGCCTCTCATTTGGCTTCTAATGCTAAACAGCTCCACCATTCTTTTATTTTTCTTTTTCTTTAGTTGGAGAGTGTTTATGTTACAAAAAGCTTTAAAAAGAAAAAACTATAATCTAGAAATTTCATTGTATATAGGAAATAAAGCAACTGTCAGGTATCTCTTTTAGGAGCCTTCAACTATTGATTTAGTTTCCTTTTATTTTTAAAATGTTTTCTATGATATTTCTGAACAACCTCTCTTCACCATTCAAACATGTTACTTGTGTTCTGCATTTTTTGAACTAATTGCAATTAGGACTTAATTAATTGTGAATGGTTGGGAGTATCACTTTGAACATTATGATGGCTAGCCATTTGCAACTCCCAACAACATAAATCTTTCAATTATGATTTGTAATACTAATATCATCGATGCATGATGGATACATTGGTTTTTTCTCACCACATCGCTTGCTTAGTATTTTCTGCAGTAACATTTCACATGTTTAGTTCTGCAGAACGATGTCCTCCAAAAATGTCCAAGCATTTGATGTGCGGCCTCTACCTGTACTGGAGAATGCATTGGAATATGTCCTAAGCTTTTTGGATTCTAAAGAGCAACCCTTTGAAGTGATTCACGACTTCATATTTGATAGAACAAGGTCTATTAGGCAAGACCTCAGCATACAGAATATTGTTAATGATAAGGCCATCTACATGTATGAAGAAATGGTTGGTATTATTTTTTATTTTGTTCTTTTTAGTGCATCCTTCCTTTCCCGTTTCTCTATTCTTCATGATATCAGTAAGTGAAGTATTCTGTAAATTGATTCTGGGGTTTAAGGAAACTAACTATATATCTGATTGTGGGTGTGGGTCCTTTGCAGTTTGTTGTCTTACTCAAGATTGCTGTTTATTACTATATTTGGTCTTAATTTGTGCAGTACCTGGAATCTTGTGTTCTTGGCTTCCTTCGACATGCACAACTCTTATCTAGGTTTCTTATGTGTTAGATGTTCATAATTCACCTTTACTTGTTTTATTAGAAATCTTCAGAAATATCTAATGGATTTGATAAGTTTTTCACTTCCGTACCCATTATCTTTAGAAGGCAAAAAACAAGCTTTTATTGAAAGATTAGAGCCTTAAATAGGTTACAATAGTAGACTTTGCTCGTTTGCCTTGTTTAGAAATTGATGATGTTTGAGGCAAATAGATATTAATTCAAAGATCTGATAGCAAATGAAAAGCTTTGACATGTTTTCCTCGAGTATGACTCTTTATGGTAGTTTATTATTGCTAGGAAATGTGGATTGTACGTTTAGGCTGATTAGCCTGATCTAGAAATCATCAGACATTCATCGCTTTTGGTCACACTTAATTGCTGTTAAGAAATCATGATCATCACCTTATTATGATCTTTACCGTATAAAATTGTTCAGGAAGTATACTGCAAGGTGAACTTGAAGATTTCCATTATGTCGAAATGCACTTTGAACTTCGAAGTCTGCAATATTTTTGGTTAATTTTGTTGGAGTGCAGGTGAAAAAAAACAAACTTAGTAATATTGCAACCCTATTTTTATGCATCTAGATTATTCTCTTTACAGGTTAAATTTCATATCATATCTCATCAGAAGCTTTTAAATGGTGATGGTAGTCCAAATGCTTCCTCAATGCATCACCTCAACATGCAACAACTCTCAAAGGCTTTGATCACTCTACTTAATCTCTATGAAGTTAATCGAAGTAATGGTGCTATATTTAAAAATGAAGCTGAGTTTCATTCATTCTTTGTGCTGCTTCATCTTGGTTCTAATAGCCAAGCAACGGTCTGTCTCTAGCTTTATTGAAAGCATTGGTGTTTTTGAGTCAATACAGTACATCCTACCATTGGTTGTGTCATACGCATAACCCATTGCTGTTTCTATTTGACAGGGGGAATCACTTACTCTGTGGTTTCGTACTCTACGTTCTCCCGTGATAAAGTCAAAGGAAATGCGTTTTGCTCGAAGAACTCTAAGGTAAGCTTTTACAGATTTTTTTGCTTTTTGTATTCAATAATTCCTTGTGATGTTCAGAGAGAAGTTTCTTTTTCACAATTTTAACTTTTCTTTTCTGTTCACTCCTGCTGTTCCTTTGAACAGATATTTTCGAATGTGTAATTATAAGGGTTTCCTATGTACCATTGGAGCTGAGGCTTCCAATCTACAATATTGCATTCTTGAACCTTACGTCAATGAGGTAATCATAATCTTGAAACTCTTTCTTTCCCTTGATATTTTTATCTGAAGTTCATATCCATGAAAGGAGAAAGCCAAAGGGATAAGTGGAGGCCTTCCACTCGTAAAAGCCAAGGAGATTAAAAGAAGTCTCCAATTGGAATTTAGTAAAAGGGGGGGAATAGTTACAAAATTTTCAAGCTGAAAACCTCTAGACTGAGAAGCCTGAACTAAAAAAAATTTCCCTGAACTCCCACGAAGTTCCAACACAAGTCCTTTGATTTCTTAAGACACGATTTTCAGCAAATAGCCTAAACTGCCTTATTCCTTTGAGTTATAACTTTATCAACAAACTTTGGAATAAATTGACAAGTGAAGAATATAATGGTCGTGGATTTGCATCCGATAGATAGAGAGAGACTAAGAAGCACGGACACAGACTCGCGATACGGATACGACACGGACACGACGACACGTTAATTTTCAAAAAAGTAGGACACAGACACGCTTGGGACACGTTAATTTTTTATATGATTTTTAATTTTATATATATACATATATATAAAAGAAAACCTAACTCTAGCCATAATTTTTCTCTCACAATAAAGAAGACCTAATTTTCATCTTGGATTCCACTCTCCCACTTAATAGTCTAACAATAGTTTTTATCTCTTTCATCACAACCCGCTACCTCCTACTTCTTCTTCTTCTTCTTTTTCTCGCCTCCTCTCCTCTCCTACTTCTCCTTTCTCAACATTGTTGCTTCTTCTTCCTCCTTCTTTGTTCACCTATCTTCTACAAGTTTGGGGGAGTACGTGACTTTTGGGTTAATTTTTATTTGGTTTCTAGAGAAGAAAGAAGACCTACAACTTGGTCATCGGTTGATGAAGAAGAAATAAGAAAACTAGGTAAAAGGAAAAAAAATAAAAAAAAGACCCTCGCGTGTCCCAGACGTGTCCCCAACGTGTCCATTTTTTAGAATAAAAAAAATAAAAATATAATTTTGGACACGTGTCCGACGCGTGTCAGTGTCGCCACGTGTCCGACACTGACACTTCGTCATTTTAAGCGTATCCATACTACCTAGGAGAGAGATATGGTCGGGCTACTTTTTTTAATTTTTTTTATAATTGGGAGTCGGGACATCCGATAAAATTGGGAGTTGGAGCTTTGCTCTCCTATACCTAGGGGCACCTGCTCCTGCCCCAAGACTAGGACCCAGGAGACATCAAGAGTTTTTTTGTATTAAGCTCATTGGAAGGTTCAAATTTGAGAGCGAAGCCTAGTATAACCAAGAGACCTCAAGCCTTTACCAACCAGATTGGGGGCGGCTACTTTTTTTAATTCTGTCCATAAGTGTTGAATTTACCAAAGGCAAGGAAACACTTCAATTTTCTTTCGAGTTACTGTCCTATTAAGAGTAATCTATGACTTGATTATTTTACTCCTGCTTAATTATTTCCTGCCCCTCTCTCAAAAAGTCTGTTCTAACTTAACATCAGACAGTACTAATGAGGGCCGAGATGGAAAAGAAGATTTCTTTTTCGTGCTTGATCATTTTGAGGAATTTTAGGTCTCTCGAAGGATTTGATCAATTAATTGGACTTGGATCTTTTTTCTCCTAAACCCTCTATTGTTCACTATGCAGGTTCGAGCTTTAGCTTTGTCTTTTATAAACAATGGTGGCTACAAGCTTAACCCCTATCCTTTGATGGATCTATCTACACTTTTAATGATGGAGGTATCATTTATGACAACTGATGATCTTCTTAAAGCCCTATTCCATGTCGTTTATGTAAATGTACGCCGTTGTTTATCGTAGTTTTTTCGGATGTGTATCAGGAATCAGAAGTGGAATCATTTTGCAAATCCTGTGGTCTTGTGACTTGTGTAGATGAACTAGGAAATTTGTCACTTCCCACCAAGCAAACAACTTTTTCTTGTCCCAGTGGAGCGTTTCAAAGATACAGCTTTCTGAGGTTTAAATAACATCAAGGTGGTTATAACTTAATCTTTACACCAATCGATTTATCGGTTTTCTTTATAGGTGGTTGATTCAAAATTGTGGTGTATCGTGTATTCCCTCCTGTTCGATGCTTTATGTAAGTTGTCTAATGCCATAATTTATCGCGGTGGGATGAGAACCGACTATTATGTAGTATTATAGCAAGAATTCAAAATATTGTGTATGCTATTTGTCTGATCCTTTGGAACCACGCCTGATGAATTTGTTCAACATATAGATATTTGTGCATTGTAATAATTTATCATGTAACGTTAGGTTACGTGTGATGTGATTGGATTTTTTTAAAGTCAAAGTGAGCATAGATCACCGGTAATTGACATATATCTTCAATCAAGAGATTGTGAGTTCCATCATCCACCCCAACATGTTGTACTAAAAAAAATTATGAGAATATAATATTATAATTGGGAATAATTGGGAAGGAGATCCAAATTTTTGACCTATAAAACAGATTATTAATGCCAGGTGAATTAAATTCTTCTTTGATAAATTGTGATTTGAGCATGACTTATCTCCATCCTTAAATCGTTGAAGTTAAAAAATAAAAAAAATTAAAATTAATTAGTAAAGTTGACATCAATTGATCTTCATCAGTATTTCTTTAAACAAATTAAGAACTAAGCATTTTTTCTATAAATATTTTTCTATCTCATTCTTTCTGCATCAATCTGATTTTCAATTTCTCACTATGTGCTCTACCTCTTTTGAATAATTACCCCACGATTTTTACCTTAATAAGATCCATAATCTTTTAATTAATTATTTTACAATTTTATTCTTTCTTTGTTTATTTACACTACTTATCATTTTTCTTATAATACAAATTTATACCACTTAAAGAAAACAACGGATGATTTAAATATTTTTTTGATCCTTGTACTTGATTTAATTCATTTTGGTTCATGTATTTTTAGTTACCGGTGATAATATTGGTCTTTATTTACAAAATTTTAACATAAATTTAATACAAATTTATTGTTATATTTTAATAAATTTATAAATTTATCAAATGAAGTATCGTGCTAAAATTTTTATTAAAGTAAGTAAATAGAAATGAAAAAGATCAAAATAATTAATTTTTATAAACATTGAGACTAAAATAAATATTTTGAAAGCACCGCGATCCAAAATCCAAATTATAAAAACCAGTATTTAAAAATGAAAAAAAGAGGATATCCATTTGAAATCCGTCCTAATTTAAAATCGCTGTATTTTTCACAAAAATTTATCATTTCTAAAATGCCTCTACCGTCTCAAATTTTCTGTATGCACGAGAGAGAGAGAGAGAGAGAGAGAGAGAGAGAGAGAGAGAGAGAGAGAGAGGCAAGAAGCCTACTCTCGATTCCTTGGCGCCCGCCACTGATCGCAACCGATTTCTTCAGTTCTGAAATTGTCGTTTGCGATTTTTTCTCTGAAATTAGGGTTTAAGTTCATCTCCTCATGTTATCCTCTAATCTCCTGTTAATAATCCCGAAAATAACTTTTATGTTCCCTTCGAAGTAGTGCTGCTTCTACTGCTAGTTGAAGTTCTGGTATTGGAGTTGAGTTCGGCTGGGATTTTCTTCCATTCATTTCCAGAGGTAATCTTCAGTTCGGTTTTATTCGTTGTATGCTGCTTTGAGGTCTTCCTCTACTCAGCATTTTACTCATCCAGGCATTCAGTTTTTCGTCGTTCTTTCAGGCATATGCCGTTTTGCGCCTTCATCTCTGGGGTGCATCAGTCACTTCATCTCATTCTCGCCGTATGGTTCGGGTATGAACTGTATTTTCAAATTCTGACTGCGGCTTGAATGTTATAATTTTCTTTCTTTAGCTGGGGTTTCCTATTCCCTACGTTCTGTTGTCTGGTCGGTTACCAGTCTGAAGTTTCATATTTTTTAGTTGAATGTACTGGTATTGGAACGGGTGGGAATGTTTTGCAATGAACAGAGACGATAAATATGGTTGTAAAAATAAGTAATTGGAGTCAACATTGTTTTATATATATTCAAAAGGGATATGGATTTCATGCCACATCAAAACTAGCTTTGAGATTATGGTGGCTATGTACTTCACCAGAGTTTCTTGAATCAGAAGAACAATAATTGGTATTATTTTCAATGGAATTGAGTTTTATTTATTTATTTATTTATTTTAAATAATAACAAAATTAACGGGTTCTACCAGCAAGCTTTCGATAATCAATATATATATCTATATGAAGAGAGAGATGTTTCTGTCTCATCATAATTGTTTATTGTACCTCATGGACTTATATTACTCTGAGATCGAGGACTACTTGTTTAAGTATTCTGATTTTCCATGTAAATTCATCAAAAGATTTCGTCTACTTTCTTCAGGCTTTTATATTATGAATCTTGTGAAGCAGTTATTAATTATTATATATGACTACTTTTCTTATTTGGGTTATTTGTTTTTAGTTTCGGGTTCTTCATGAAGAGTCCATTTTCAATCATTTGTTTCTGCTCCAAGCTCAATTTTGGAAGAAAAATAGCATGCAGATATTTTGCAACAACCAATGCTGCCTTGTCTTTATTCAACTGTGTGGATGATGACTGCTTTACTTATGAATATCCTGTCGCTGCGAACTATGATGTTGACTTTGATGAAAAAATTTATTTTCGCAATGAAGATCCTAAAGGTCAGAAAGTAGATGACGATAGAATGAAAATGATAAAATTGATACTCAGGAACCATGGGCTGAATCTCGGTTCTCATCCAAAACAATTGGAGATTGTAAGGATTTTGGACACTCTATTTGAGGACAGTTCAGATGCAGGACTTAGTCTGTACTACTTCAAATGGTCAGGATGTTTATCTGGATCTAATCAATCTCTGCAGTCAATCTGTAGGATGATACGTATTTTGATTACTGGGAATATGAATCATAGGGCAGTTGATTTAATGTCTCATATTGTAGAAAATTATGGTAGTAAAGAGGGATCTTCAAGTATGTTGCTAAAACTTTTTTTTGAGATGGTTAATGAGAGGAAGACTTTAGAAACTGCATGTAGCATGCTGGTTTACTGTTATATCAAGGAAAGAATGGTAACAGCTGCTCTTATATTGATGGGTCAAATGAAGCATCTTAAAATATTTCCTTCTATATGGGTATACAGGTCCGTGATACAAACTCTATTAGAAACCAATCAGTTGGAGTTGGCCTGGGATCTTCTAGAAGAAATGTACATCCAAGGTGTAAGTTTAAATTATTCAATTAATTTGTTTATTCATCATTACTGTGCAGAAGGTAATCTGGGCATGGGCTGGAAAGTGCTTTTGGAGTTGAGAAATTTTGGATCTAAGCCTGATGCAGTTGATTACACAATTGTGATAGACTCGCTTTGCAAAAACTCTCTTTTAAAAGAAGCTACCTCCTTGTTGTTTAAAATGTCTGCTTTTGGCGTTTCCCCTGATTCAGTTACAATGAGTTCTGTGATTGACGGTTATTGTAAAATAGGGAATTTGGATGTAGCTTGTAAAATATTAAAGTATTTTAGGCTTCCCCTCAATATTTTCACATACAATAGCTTTATAACAAAGTTATGTACAGAAGGAAACATGGTAAGTGCTTCTGAAGTTTTTCTTGAAATGTCTGAGGTGGGCTTACTTCCAGATTGTGTTAGTTACACTACCATGATGGGAGGCTACTGCAAAGTGGGAGACATAAACAAAGCATTTCTATACCTGGGCAAGATGTTAAAAAGTGGAATTCAACCATCTGTTATCACATATACTCTATTGATTGATAACTTATGCAAGTGTGGAAATGTGGAAATGGCTGAAATATTTTTCCAAAAGATGGTTACTGAGGGTATAAAGCCTGATGTTGTCGCATTTAATATTTTGATGGATGGATATGGAAAGAAGGGCTACTTGCACAAGGCTTTTGAACTCCTCGATATGATGAGATCTACAAATGTCACACCTGACGTTGTGACGTATAACACTCTCATTAATGGCCTTTTCACAAGAGGGTTTCTCCGAGAGGCAAAGGATATTTTAGATGAGCTCATCAGAAGGGGTTTCAGTATAGATGTCGTTACATACACTAATTTCATATATGGATATTCCAAAAGGGGAAATTTTGAGGAAGCTTTTCTTGTTTGGTATCATATGACTGACAACTGTGTGAAGCCTGATGTTGTTACTTGCAGTGCCCTTCTTAGTGGGTATTGCCGAGAACATCGTATGGATGAAGCAAATGCTCTATTTTATAAAATGCTGGACATTGGACTAAATCCAGACTTGATATTGTATAATACGTTAATCCATGGATTTTGCAGTGTTGGTAATGTTGATGAAGCTTGCAATTTGGTAATGAAGATGATCGAAAGCAGTATCCTTCCGAACAATGTTACTCATCGGGCACTTGTCTTCGGATTTCAAAAAAAGCAGGTTATCAGTCCAATAGAGAGTGCCACTTGTAAGCTTCAAGAAATCTTGCGTGCATATGGTATTGAGGTCGATGCCAAAGGATATATCTAGTGTTGGAGAAACTTGGTGACTCCATCACTGCATATGGTAGACTTTTCTTCTACACGCTGAGTTCTGCTATGTGTATTTATTCTTTTCCCTATCTCATTACCACAATCATAACTCATAAGCAAAATCTTTATTCAATTGGAGCGATGCAGTTTCGAATTTACGTAGCTTGATGGTACTCATTATTCAGGTATTTAAAATGGCCTACTTCAGAATCTTGAAGAGGAAAGAGGATAAACCAGACAATGGCTCTTTGCTCTTCTCTCTCTGTTCTATCTTCCAATCCAGTCCACACAATCATCTCCAAAACTTTTGAAATCTGGACAAAGGTGTTCTTGAGCCAAAGATTCTCGGAAATATCGAAGTCTCTGCCTCCAAGTTTCTCAGAAAATCAGGGAGGATAAGCAGCCCAAGGATGTGGAATGCGGCACGACAACTGAGTTCAACCATGAAAGGTTGAAATTTTCTTATGGATGAGCTTAAATACCAAGATGCAAGGAGGTTAATCTACTTCAAATTCTGAATGGGAAAAGTCCAGTAAGCTTTCAACTCCATTTATCCATAATTCCAATACTAAGTTACGTGCCCGTATGAACATTATTCTGCACCAACAGTATCAGTGATTTAACTTATTATGCTTGTGCAGTGTGGTAGGGCGTAGGGGCAATCCTGCCCTCCAGGACAGGTGAAAATGACCATTATGCCCCTTCAAAGTCAAAAAGCTGGTTCTAGTTTTGATTTGGTAATGTTCCTTTCAATCCACACACGCATTTCATTCTTTTAGGTGGTTTTATTTTTCTTACTAAAGAAATGAAGTTAACCATTACACATGCTCCTGTAGGAAACAAACCATATAATGTAATGTAATTGACTGTACATGGTTCACACACTATGTCCTTGGTTGATTTTTTTGTCTCTATACCTTCCTAGCAGTGTGAAGATAACCGCATTTCGTTACTTAAAATCTTTTTCTTTTTGATTCGACAGTGGGATGGAGGTGATTATGACACTGTGACTGAGGGGAACGACTAGATAGTGCAGTTTGGATCTAATTGTTGTTTGGTTTCTTCTCCACGCCAATTATGGGTGATCATGTATGTAAGTCATCCCATTTAGTATCGAATGATCCATTTTTAAATACTGGGATCAGTGTATGTCCCTTCTCTTTTTGGAAAGGGAAACGTCTGTTATGTCTCTTATCTACTACCTGAAAGGTAATTCTTGCCCAGAATTATGTTGTTAGGTTTGTTATTTCGAGTATAACAAATGTGGCGTAGAATTTGAACCTTTGACTTCAAGGGGATGAGTAGATACCTTAATCATTGAGCCTATGCTCATGTTGATGTTAGGTTTGTCATATTGATAGGCTTCCTATTAGAAATGCGTTTCAAGGGAAGCACGTGAGAAGAGCGGTCGGGGCTTAGAGGATGTAATTAGTTGGGAGAGATAGGAAACTCTATAATTCTGATGTAGTAGTGTGTGAGATTTTCCTTGGGCATTTGAGTCTGGGATTTTCCTGGGGTATTTGAAGAACTATACTTACATTCTTGGTTAAATTATAAGTTCGGTCTCTACATTTTGTTTGTTTAAAAAGTGTTTTAGCAAGTCTTTAGACTTTCAAGTTTGTGTCTATGGATCCTTGAATTAGTGTCGGATAAGTGTTTGAAATTTTCAATTTTGTTTGAGTCATTCGACATGTTTTAAATTTTACCATTCTACTTGACATAAAATTGATTTTTGTTTTAAATAGGACCTTCAAATTTTTATTTTATGTCCTATAAGTCTGAATTTTATAAAATATTGTTTAGGTTAAAGACCTTCTAGACACAAAATTATCAAAATTAAAAATTTAGGAACTTGTTATAATTTTTAAATTTGACCGACCTATTCGATATAAAATTGAATTTTGTGTTTAATAGGACTTTCAAATTTTCATTTTGTGTCCAATAATTTTTTGAATTAAAATTAAAAGTTTGGAGACTGTTATATTTTTTAAAGTTCAACAAATGTAATAGATGCTTTTTATAGTTTTGGAATGTATTAGATACAAAACCTAAAGTTTAGGACTAAACTTGTAACTAAACACTATTTTTTAATAAATAACAACATTAATTTAAGATATATTCCTTTTGTAAAAAAAAAAGAGTAACAAAGTTTAATTATTAGTGATGACTCGTACAATTGGTGAAGTGCATTAAAAAACAATCAAACCCCTTAAAAGAAGTGTCTTTAATTTAATTACACAAAAAAATTTGTTGTTTTCAAAAGTAATTTAGGGGCACTTGCAAATAAAATTATGGCAAAAAATTTATAGTAAATAAGCAAAATAGGAATCTCATATAATTTTTTCAAATATAACATTTTTTTAAAGAAAAAACGGAGATTCAATTATAAAATTACAAATTCACCCTTTAATATATATGATATATATATGTAATATATACCACTGATATATATTTCTAATATACCAATAATATAATAATGATATATAATTTATTTATTTTTGGACTACTCAACTTCTATCATGTTTTACTATTGATATATGTATGATAACTATTGATTTACCACGCTGATACAATACATACATATGTGAAATGTATTTAATTTACCATTGATATACAAATGATACACCATTGATATAATTATGGTATCTACTGATATAACTTTCTATATGATTATATGATTTACCACTAATATAACACTGTTATATATTTTATATATACTTAATATGCTTCTAATTTACCACTTATATACCTCTGATATAACCATTATATCTACTAATATAACTATGAAACATGTGTGTTAATATGATACTATTATATTCAATATTTTTTTCAGATGAAAACAGTGGTGCAAAATTTTTTATTTATTTTTTATTTTTGAAATATAAAGTTATTATATAAAAGGTTTATGCGGACCATGCACGTCCAAAAAGATAAGTTAAAATTTTGATATACTTTATAAATTTAAACAGTTGATATCCTTTATATTTAGTATCTAATTAATATTAATATTGAATAAATAGTAGTGATATAGTAATCAACATTATTGATAATATTAGTATATTAATCAACAAATTGAAATGATAAACTAGAATTTAAACAGTTGATATATCATTAAAAATTAAATATTTGATGTACCTTATATTTAGTATATTAGTTGCAAATATATTTAGTATATCAGTTGAAAATATATTTAGTATATCATAAATTAGAAATACATAAGATATATATTATATGTATAATACGTACATTTGATGTATATTAGTGGTATGTATGATAATGTCTATCATGGGTACATCTGATACCGTATATTAGGGGTACATCGAATGTATATCGGAAATATATCAAAGTTACATTGAATGTACATTAGATATAGATTTGATGTATATCATATACAAATTTACATCGGATGTATATCATATATAAATTTGATGTATGATATACATCATATATAAATTGGATGTATATCAGATATAGATATGCATCAGATATCTATAGATATCATAGGGGTAAAATTGAAATAAGAAAAATTCTGAAAAAAAAATTCAAATATTTTGTTATATTTGAAATTGTGAAAAGCTTTGACATTTTTAAAAATACATAAAATATTTTTACTACCTACTGCCCCTTTTCTTTCTAAATATACTTGTTTAAAAATGAAATACATTCGAAACCATATATTCTAAAAACAACTATATATATAGACACTCACACGTTGTATATTTTTCTTTTATAAACGAACAAATGATTTTTTTCCCTTCCAGACTTAAAAAAGAAAATCAATTATGTCATTAAATTTTAATTATTTTCAAATTTTATTCATTTCATCCATATATTTTCAAAATATTTATTTTGATTTTCTACTTTCAATTTTTTTTGTCCCTATTTATAAAATTTTAACACAAATTTTATTTACAATGGACGTATTTCAGTAAAAATTTATGGCTACATTTAAAAAAAGTTAATAAATGAAGTATTGTGCTGCCATTTTGAATGAAATAATTTCTAAAAAATAAAGATGAAAGAGACCAAAATAGTCGTTTTTTAAAATTTCAACGATCATAAGTAAAATTTTTAAAATGAACATAAGTAAAAGATATAGGGACGATGTTCTAAAAATACACTATTCAAAATGAACTAAAGTCGAAGGTACAAGTTCCAAAATAATATTTAAACGTTATATTTATTTTTAGTTATTATTATTAAATACTTGTTAGACAAAATATGAACGGCTTCGTTAACTAATTAGGGTTAAATACTTTTTTTTAGTATGTTGGGAGACAACTATATATTAATTATCACTCAACTATATTTGTTTTGAAAATTATGGCTAAATACTTGAGCAAAGCTAGATGACACGATTTGATAATTAATACTTTCCCAAATGTAATTAGGGCTAAATTATATTCAAGATGCAGAGTCAATTGAAAAAAAGAAAAGAAAAACTAAATTAATAAATTGACATTTCAATTTTTTTTTTCTGCTTAAACGCAAACATAAATGAATTGATCTGAGATTACTTTTCAATCGATTACTGGCGGTCGCGGGTCAATCATTTTTATAAATCTCTGGCCATTTCGGAAGGCGGTGTGGATATTTTGAGAACACTGGTGGTTGAGGACAGGACCTGATTCGAATCGGAAAGCGACATTTTATGCAGAAATCAACGCAGTTTGTGGATTCTCGATTCAAGTGAGTTGCTTAGGGCATTGATTTTCCAGGTTTCATCCTCATCTTTGTTTGTGAATCCATAGAGTTGTTTCAATTTTGGTATAAAATGCTCTAAATTCAGATTGTGTTGCAGGGAAATCCGTTGAGATGACTCCTGTTTGTCCGTTCGTGAAATCTGCTCGTCCCGACGACGCTTCTTCGCGGAAGCACCAGCCGGAAGCTGCTTGTCCTTTCGCGAAATCCGGCCGCTCCGATGATGCTTCTTCTAGAAAGCAGCAATCGGAGGCTGCTTGTCCGTTTTCGAAATCTGCTCGCTGCGACGATGCTTCTGTGAGGAAGAATCAGGTTGAGGCGGAGAGTAACGAGGCGGAGAAAGACGTTGCCGATGCTGCTACAACCGGTGGCAAGTGTCCATTCGGATATGATTCTCAAACTTTCAAGCTTGGCCCTCTGAGCTGTATGATATGTCAGGCGCTTCTCTTTGAATGCAGCAGATGTGTCCCCTGTTCTCACATTTACTGCAAGTAATTAAATTGGCTGCGCTGTTTCTTGTCTTCGTTTTGTTTTCTTTTTGAGATCCCTTCGGTTATTTGTTTGTTTGTTTCTTCTTCAATTGAACTAGAGCATGTATATCTCGATTTAAAGACTGTCCGCTGTGTGGAGCTGACATTGAGAAGATTGAAGCCCACGCTGATCTGCAAGGTACGGTTGATCGCTTCATTGAAGGTCATGCGAGAATCAAGAGATCCCAGGTGAACTCAGACAAAGAGCAGGAGGAAGTTAGTGAAAGTAAAGTAGTAATTTATGAAGACGTGTCCATGGAGAGAGGTGCTTTCTTGATCCAACAAGCCATGAGGGTAATACTCCTTGTTGTTTTCTTCTTGTTTCTTGTTTCTTCTGTGATATGAATGTATGTTTTATCAAATGGTTTTTTTTTTTTTTTTTTGAAATCCTTATTTGAACCATCTAGTCTGTGTGTTGTGCGAGCTTCGTTTTATTAGGGGCTTTCTGAAAAGTTATTTTGAAATGATTTTATATTTGTGTATCTGATTGAATATTGAATAGAAATTAATGTTATTGTGCAGGTAAAAATTACTTTTCACACATTCATAATTTTTAAAGGAATAAGTAGTTTATCCTTTTATGAAAGGATCATTTATAATTGGAAGACTCTTCTTTTGTAGGTTTTTTCTGTTTAGCTCTTGGGCGGGGTCTCCTCGCCTCCCGGCCCCTATGCTGTTACCTTTCCCCTTTTATTTTTAATATACTTGTTTCTTATAAAAAAAAATTCAAAAACAAAAAAACAAAAAAAAAGGAAAGAAAAAAGGAATAAGTAGTTTCATCTGTAAGAACACACAAAAGAAAGCAAGAAAAAAACAACTTTTAGGAAGTAGTTATCCAAACACCATTTACAGAAAATAGGAAATTGCATTTCCTACCATCCCTTTAATTTTTGCTCTTACAAGTTTTAAATCTGGCTTTTTATTTCAGGCATTTCGTGCCCAGAATTTTGAAAGTGCCAAATCCAGGCTCACTATCTGTGTCGAAGATATTCGAGATCAATTAGAAAGAATGGGCAACTCGTCAGAATTATGCTCACAGCTTGGAGCAGTTCTAGGCACACTTGGCGATTGTTGGTATGTCGGCTCCCTTCTCTCTCTTATTTGGGACATATAATTTCTTAAAATGCAATATCCCTTCATTATCATCTATTAGTTTAGTGTTTTATTGACAATTAGGTGGTGAGGTTTTAAATTAGACGTATCTCTAAGGGTCTCTTACCCTTTATTTTTTAAGCAATATCATTCGATTTAGTTAGTTATTGATGGTTTATTTTTGGTTAGTTATTTAGTTAGTTATCGATCGTATTATCAGGTGTAACAGTGGCCAACTAGTTGGTCTTTTGGGCACTCAGATTCTGAAGTTATCATACTAACAACTAACACTTGTAATCAAAGGAATCCTGATGTAAATACTCCTTGCAATTATCTGAACATATAGTATGCGTCTGAAAGCTTGTAATCCACCATAACAATATTTATAAATCCAGATGTAAATTTCTGTTGTTTGATGATCCAATTTTACAGTCGAGCAGCTGGAGATGCTAGTTCTGCAATCAAGCACTTTGAAGAAAGTGTAGAATTTCTCTCAAAGCTTCCTGAAAAGAGTCATGAGGTTCTTTATTTGAAACTTTTATGAGTGAACTTTATGAATTATTAACTGGTTGTTCTAGAAATATTAATAACTTTTTCTCTCTTCAGGTCACTCATACCCTTTCTGTATCACTTAATAAAATTGGCGATCTTAAGTACTATGAAGGAGACCTCCAAGCTGCAAGATCTTATTATTTCCGGTCGCTTAATGTTCGCCAAGATGCTAGCAAGCATCATCCTGACGATCCATCCCAGGTTTGTGATTGTTAATTTCTTACTATGCAATCTTTTATCCTAAAAGTTAACATGTCTTTTGGCATTCAGTTATAAAATATTTTAGTGATAAGTGGTTTTATTAAGGTAATTCATCAATCCTTACAGAAGGATGTTAATAGAGAATTGACCATAAAGCCCTAACGACTGTGGAAAAAAGGAAAAAAAACTCGAGGAATCTTTCTGAATGGACTAGCGAAAAAGCACAAGGAAAGTGGGTAAAAAAAATTTAATCTAATTGTCTCCCTCCCTTTCAAAATTGTCTGAATGCATATTTATACAATTAAATAGTGGAAGACAAATCAATTTGATGTGGTTGATTAGTAGGATGGTTTGAATATTTTTGTATATATATATATATTTTATAAGAAACCTGAATATTAGGTTGCAACTTTCGGTATGTGATATTCTAGCCTGGGCAAATGACCACTATTGTTGGTAGAGACCAAACAGATCCCATTGGCTTGTGCAATAACCGATATCGAACAAATTCCAAAAGGTTACTGTTAGAATAAACTTCCTTCCACGACTTTACTTGAACGGGATCAGTCGTATAATTTGTACTATTCTGTCCCTGAGTTCTAAAAATAGAATGAACCTCTTCCCAAGAAAAAGTAGAACTTAATCAATCCCTCAATGCTATCAATGAGAGCCCAATAGGATTGTCTCCACAGATTAAAATTGCCAGAAAGAATGGTTATTTTGGTGGAACCCAACTTAATCTAGATAATTAGTTGGTAACTTGGTTGGGTCCAATACGAATGGTCGTAGTTTCTGAAATTGGCTATTTAATTTTCCTTATTGCTTGCTACAGATCCTAGATGTGGCTGTTTCGCTTGCAAAAGTTGCAGACGTGGACAGTGGTCTAGGAAATGAGGACATGGCAGTTAATGGATTTCAGGAAGGCATAAAGCTGTTGGAATCGTTAACACTGAATTCTGAGAATCCTGGTCTTGAACAGCGAGTAAGACTTGATTCTCTGCCTGTTTCTTCTCTCACTTATACTTAATATCAATCGCGAAAAAGTTGATAGACATTTATATTTTACTGGCAGCGTCAATCTGTTCTCAAATTCCTTGAAGGTCAACTCACAGAGCGACAAAAAGGCGACTCCAGATGATTGAAAGGTATGATGCTGTGTGAATGTGATAGAGATTGTTCCAATCGTCTATATACAATATCTTAGTTAAGCAAATAAGTTCCCTGAAGATCAAGAGCATTTAGAAGGAAATTTATGGCTATGGAATACATCATCTCGGATGCTCTTATTGTGTTTTCTTCATCGTATAGTACAAAAGCATACGTAACTCGCATAAGCTTGAATTGGCCTGGCAGTTATGAAGCCATGGCATTTCTGTTCGGCTGGCGGTCACGTCTCCCATGTGTATAAGGTTTTGCTTATCTCCCCCCTCTGAGAACTCTGGTTGTGTAGAATTTAGCAGGAACTCCTCACTCTCTTTTACAGTGAAGTTGTTTGCTAATCTGCAGATGCAATCTTTTGAAATAAATTGAACTTAATTAGTAGATGGCGTACGATAGGTTTTTTCGATTCTTCATCATTATCACCACCGATTCTTGGTGATTTGTTTCTTGGTTTTGGTTGCTTTCATGGGGAAAGATAGATGATGAGTTATGATGAAAATGGTGGTGAGATGGCTTTGTTGTAATTTGGATTTATATAGGAATCAGATGAGTGGATGTTTTAGTATTTTGTTCTTCATATTACCATCTCCAATTAGATAGGTTTGTCCCGGATTTTCAAGGGGCAGTTCCAGTAGCAAGGGTTTGAGGTTTCTTGATCATACCAGCTTAGAAGTCTCAAGTTCGAACCTTCGGGTGAGTTTAATACAAAATTTTTTGGATGTCTCATGGATCCGGCCGTTGGAGTGGATGTGTGTGCCTCGAGTACAGGGGAGCAAAGCTCCGACTCTCGGTTATAAAAAAAAAAATTAGATTTCTTTCTATTTGTTGCTTCCCCGACTCAAGTGATTTTAACTATGCCAAACTCATTTTTCAATTAGATAGATTTGTCTCGGGTTTTCAAGGGGCAGTCCCAGTAGCAAGGGTTTGAGGTTTCTTAGTCATATACTAGCTTAGAAGTTTCAAGTTCGAACCTTCGGGTGAATTTAATACAAATTTTTTTTTTGATGTCTCATGGATCCGACCGTTGGAGCGGACTCGTGCGCCTTGAGTATAGGGGAGCAAAGTTTTGACTCTCTGTTTTAAAAAAAAATAGATAGATTTCTTTCTATTTGTTGCTTCTCCAACTCGAGTGATTTTAACTATGTCAAACTCATTCTTTGTCAAATTTTTAAAGATAACTTGTATATTAGTATTGAACCTTACTATTTTAAATGAGAGTGATTTTAATAATGAAACAAGTCATGTAAAAATTATTTTGAAAATGCCTTATTGTTTGACTTTGAAATACAAGTGATTTTAAAAAATAAAATAAATATCAATGGTATAACCAATAGAAATGTTCTTAGTCTGGAAATAAAACTTGAAAAGAGGTAATTGTGAAGTTCACATTCAATTTCTGCCGGAACCAAAATGTAACAGAGTTTCTTCCATTTCATTTTCACCACTATAATCATTATGACTCCTCCAAATGTTAATGCTATATTGTATATCAAACTAAAACTTTTAAACTTTTTCTTTTTTTTTTTATCATGTCTATTTGCCATCTAAATGGTAATTTTGGACAAAATAACTGTTTTTTGAAGCAATGAGTCGCATCTTTTTTTTATAGACTATATTTTATTTTGTCCGAGTTGTTTATCTACATTTGCCATAGATTCGTCATATCTTGTTAAATTAGCGAACATCGGTCTAATAGACATGCTACATCCCATCAATTCCTTGAGAACGTCGAGCGTAAAAACCACAGGGAAACAACAGTTGCTGCAAAGATATCAAAATTTCAGAGCTTGAAAGACCACAAGGAGGCTTCCCAGGCTTTTACATCCTCTAACATTCATAATACAAGATTGGAAGAAACGAAACCCAGTGAGAGAGAAAAAACTGGCAATTCTGCTGTTTCAAAAATTTCTACACGTATGCTTATGTTTCATGTTTCTCAAAAATTACAAATTACAAATGGAAATGTTATCAAACTCCACTACTAGAATTTTTGGATTTCGTGACGGTACTAAACAGTAAAATACTGTTCACGATTGTCTAAATACGTCACGAAAGGTTAAAACGCATTTTTGGAGGGAAAAAACGGAAAATTTTGGAATTTTGACTTTTTGAGACGCTTTTTTTCCGTCACGAAAACCTTGAGGCGCGTTTTTGGCGGGGAATGACGGAGTGTTCCGGATTGACGTGTTTGCGTGACAAATTTTTTCCGTCACGATAAGTTACCAAGAGATTATTTTTCGTGACGTTTTTTAAACGTCACGAAAAAATTGAGGCGCGTTTTTGGCGGGAAAAGACGGAGTTCTTCGGATTGGTGGCTTTTTCATGACGTGTATAAAACGTCACGGAATATTATTTTCCGTGACGTTTTTAAATCGTCACGATACGAGAAGAAGATTCTATTCTTATTCGTGAAAAGGTATGACTTTACGTGACTGTGTTTATATGTCACTATAAGTTGGAAAACTGTATTTTAGTGACATATGATAAAACGTCACTAAAAGTTGCTTTTCGAAATCATATTGTTGTGCGAACATTAGGCAAATGACAAGAGACTCTTACCTCCCCTCGAACAAAAATCGCGTAGTCTATAGATTAGAGGTGAATCGTCGTCTAAACCTTTGACTAATTTTGGTCTAAAATGCAACTTTAATACACCATATGCTGAAGCAAAGCTATGCCTAAAACTAATGTTTAATTTGAAAATTGAGGTTGAAATTTAGTTTCAAATTATAGATAACAATTCTAAATGTTGATTTTTAAATTTAATTTTCAAAATCATATATATATTAAAAAAAAGACACCAATGAATAGTTAAAGAAAATAAATTATTTAAAAAAACATTTTTTAACATTATTTTTTCACTAAAAAAAACATTTTTCACCTTTTTTGTTTGTTTGGTTTTTTTTTAACGAGTAATTTCGAAGTT